CATATGTTGAGTCGGCGAGCTCGGCAGCAGTGATAACCTGATCGAACTCAGCCGACGAAGGGTCCGCCACACGCCAGCTCGAGCCTGCCACGCCGCCTGCACCTGGTGCAGGAGCCACGCCCAGCACCTCAGCGATCCCGCGCGCCTGCTCACGCATGGTGGCGATCCGAGCAGGGGCTCGTTGCGGCCCCCGAAACACGTACATCATGCCCGCCAGGTCGACCGGGAAGGCCCCGTTCCGAGCTAGCGGCCGCACCTCAACCCCATCGAAGTCCTCCTCATAGACATCGCCGTCTGGAGTCCCTATGATCCACCGACCTGCGGCCACCTTTGTGAACAAGACACGGTGGTGGTAGTGCAGCCCAGCAGCGTCGTCGTCGTAGTAGACGAGAATCTGCAGCTCGTCCACGTCTAGAGTCCGATTGACCGCCGCCATGCCTCCACCTCCTCGCGAGACGCTGGTCCCTGCAAGGCTGCAGGCGAGGACGACCGCGCCACTCGGCGACGCCCTCCGCACCTCCCGAACACGTAGCCGAGGAGCAGGCACAGCAAGCTAAAGCTCACGGCGAACTCCAGAGGCACCGTCCGCCCGCCGCTCGGCGGGCCTGCAGGGGATGTTGTCGCGCCCGGGCAGTCTGGACAAGGCGGCGACGCAGCACAGGTACAGGATGGTGCCGCTGGGCACACCAAGGGGCGCCCCACCACCTGCCTGACGATGTCGAACACGGGCTCGCAGACCTCCGCCGCGGCGGGCGGGGCGGGACAGGTGCACTCGCACCTGGTCGGTGCGATGGCGTCTCTGGTGAGCGTATATATGAAGTGAGCGGTCGAAGAATAGGAGAAGGCCCACTCAACCATATGCTGCTGAACTACTCAGCAGAAAAAACTTGAGCACATTGGGCGATGGATCGGAAGGACCTGGCCACGATTCATGCCGCAAAGAGACATCAGTGATTGCTGCAATACATATATACATATATGTATATATCAATATCACTATCATTATCCATATATATAGCCCTGCGCACCCACCAAGATCCCCATCTTCTCATGATTATATATGATTTTACATATGAGTCCTACGATGTTCGGACTCATTTTTGAGGCTCTTTTTTGGAAGACTTTTTGGGCCCCCTTCTACTCAACTCCCTCCGTCTCCAACACAACACCAATTACTCAACAGCCTCCTTCTCCAACACAACACCCGATACTCAACAGGCTCCCTCCCCAAGCTGAACTTAAAAAGAACCTTGTACTTAACTCCCTCCGTCTCCAACACAACACCCAGTACTCAACAACCTCCTTCTCCAACACAACACCCGATACTCAACAGGTTCCCTCCCCAAGCTGAACTTGAAAACAACCTTCTACTCAACTCCCTCCGTCTCCAACACAACACCCAATACTCAACAGCCTCCTTCTCCAACACAGCACCCGATACTCAACAGGCTCCCTCCCCAAGCTGAACTTGAAAAGAACCTTCTACTCAACTCTTTCGTCTCCAACACAACACCCAGTACTCAACAGCTTCCTTCTCCAACACAACACCCGCTACTCAACAGGCTCCCTCCCCAAGCTGCACCAAGACCCCCCTTTCTCATGATTATCTATGAATTTATATATGATTCCTACGATTTTCGGACTCACTTTTGAGGCTTTTTTTTGGAAGACTTGTTGAACTCCCTTCTACTCAACTCCCTCCGTCTCCAACACAACACCCAGTACTCAACAGCCTCCTGCTCCAACACAACACCCGATACTCAACAGGCTCCCTCCCCAAGCTGAACTTGAAAAAAACCTTCTACTCAACTCCCTCCGTCTCCAACACAACACCCAGTACTCAACAGCCTCCTTCTCCAACACAACACCCGATACTCAACAGGCTCCCTCCCCAAGCTGAACTTGAAAACAACCTTCTACTCAACTCCCTCCGTCTCCAACACAACACCCAGTACTCAACAGCCTCCTTCTCCAACACAACACCCGATACTCAACAGGCTCCCTCCGTCTCCAACACACGCACATGTACTCCAGATCCTACCACTACAACACGACGCGACACCCGAAACTCCAACCGCAGCCGCCCCCCTTTTTTCTTGGCATCTTCCAAGAGAAAAGGGGGGTTCATGGTGGGTGCGCCGACCTATATATATATATATATGTATACTAGAACCATCGCGCGCGCTTCGCGCGCGCTCAAGTTCTAGCCAGGATCCTCACCATCGTCATCATCGCAATCATCACCATCGTAGTCATCGTCATGGTCGTGTTCACCATTACCATCACCAGCACAACCATCATCATCACCACCATCATCGTCAGCATCGTCAGCACCATCTTCATCATCGTCGTCGTCATCGTTGTCCTCACTATCATCGTCGTCGTCATCATCATCAGCATCATCATCGTCAGCATCAGCATCAGCATCAGCATCATCATCATCATCATCATCATCATCATCATCATCATCATCTTCGTCGGCGCCGTCGTTGTGCTCGTCATCCTCATCATCAGCGTCGTCGCCGTCATCATCATCGGTCTACTCCAGTCCCCTCCCCCTCCTCCTCATTTCCGTTCTATCTCTCCCCATCATCCTATCCTCTTGCTCCTCCTCCTCTTTCTTCTCCTCGATGCCGTCTCCCTGAAGTGGATCCCTGTTCATTCACCTCCTCCTCCTCCTCCCTGTCCTCCCCGCTCTCTTCAATATGTCCCTCCTTGTGTTCCTTCACCTCCTTCACCTCCTTCCCCCCCCCAGAACTCCACGAACGGTGCCAGGGACAGAAAAGCACGGCGTCCCTCCGCCTATCGCACACCTTTCACACGGCTCTGTTGGGAGAATTCGCCCAGCGTCTCCCCGCGTATTTCGACTCGCTCCGCACACAGCTTGTGCCCCGAAGGAAGCTGTTCCGACGGCCCCGGAAACAAGGGTCGCATCCTGCCGCCCCGCCCATGTCGGCACACCCCTGACATGGATCGTGAAGTAGGGGCGTCTTGGAGGCCTCTCAGGACGTGATTCCCAATGGTCTCTTGAAGTCTCTGCAAGGCCTCTTGGGGGCCTCTCGGCGTCTCTTGGGTGCCGCGGGAGCTGCTGGGGGCTTCTTGGGAGCGTCCTTTGGGGGACCGTCTTGGGGCTCCCTGCGCCGGCGACGCAGGGAATGAAACCTGGGATCGCTATTGACATGATGGCCGCGCACGGCAATGAGGACAGAGACCTGGTCCTCGAACCGACGACGACAGCGACTGCGATGGCGACGGCGAGGAGACACCCCAGGCTGCAGAGGAAGAGGGTGGTCAGGGAGTGGGCGTCGGCACCGAGATCAGCTAAGTAGACATGGGCTGTCCCGACGGAGGAGGACGAGGAGGCCACAGAAACACCCATCCTTTCAAAGCTAACATGTGCACGCTAAGCTCGCACCCTCGGCCCCAACTAACACCACACGCGCAGTTCGAGCGCGCTGAGGTTCCAGCAGCCCCCATCCTCTCAAAGCTAACATGTGCACGCGTGCACGTAACCACCAATGGCAGGAGCATGAACTGGAGAGGTAACAATGGCGCAGACCGAACAGGGCCGTAGTACACACGAGGGCGCACACAGACGTATCGAATGCAACGCCATGCAGACCAATGCGAGTAGTAAAACAAACGCCAAACGTTGCAAATGCAGCGCGATTCACAGCATTATTGTTGAATTGAAATGCAATGCACATGCTACTCAATGCAGGCAGCTCAACGGAACGGATCGGAAGGAAGAAGGGGTGCATATGAAAGTGTCCGAAATCGCATGGGGCTCGTTTCGGTGCCTGCTCGGGGGCTCTTGGGGGCCTCCCGGGGGGCTCTTGGGGGCCTTTGGGAGCCTCTAGTGGTTTCTGGGGATGCTCTTGGGGCCGAGGGCCCGTAAAGTGCGCTCGGATCCCGCGTCTGGGCCCCTTCTTGGAGCCGTGTTGGGACTCTCTTGGGCCGTCTTCGAGGCCTCTTAAGCGGTCCCGGGGCGCTCTTGGGCCGTCTTGGGGCCGTCTTGGTGGCCTCTTGGGCCGTCTTGGGGCGATCTTGGGTGCCTCTTGGCCGTCTTGGAGCGCCAGGGAGCCCAAAAGGAGAGAAAGCCAAAAACATCGAAAAACACAATGGAAAATCAACGATTCGAGCCTCTTGGGGCCCTCTTGGAGAGCCTCTTGGAGGCCTCTTGGGGCGTCTTGGAGGCCCCTTGGGCCGTCTTGGGACCATCTTGGGCGTCTTGGAGCGATCTGGGACCGCCTCGGGGCCCTCTTGGACCATCCTGGGGGCCTCCTGGGGCCGTCTTGGAGGCCTCTTGGGTCGTCTGGAGGCTCCTTGGAGGCTCCTTGGAGGCCCCGGGGAGGGGGTATTAAAAAGCGTTCCCCGATGGTTGCGGAGTGGGCGGCCCCGCCGGGGGGGGGGGGGCCTATTTGTTTATATTATATATATATATATATATATATATATATATATATATATATATATATATATATAATATATATATATCCTAACGGGTGCACTTGCACCTGGTGGTTCTCTCGTAGGTGGTCCTGATCGTCACCATCGTTCGATGTAGGTGTGTGTTCTGCGTCACTGATGATGTTTGTTGGTGGTGGTACGTCGTAGGTGGTTATTGTTCGTACTAGGTTGTGTTAGGTGGTAGCTGTAGTTCGTTGTAGTGCGTGGTTCGTGTTCGTCCTATCACCAGTGGTACAAAGTGATCATCTCGTTTCCGAGGCGTTGTGGTTCGTTACTAGATTGTTGCGGCTGGGCAGTTGGACAAGGTCGTAGGTGGTAGTGCGTCGTACATGCTGGATGGCCTACTGGAGGGAGGGGTCCGTGACTGTAGCTCCTGGTGATATACAGATTAGCATGGGGACCACTACCAAAAAACACTGTGCTTTTTGGTGCTGTTTTCTACATGGTTCTTGCAATTTCTTCATACATGCGAACATCGCAATTCACTGATTCCTGCTCCTCTATGGGCCTCTCGTTCGAGACATCCTCAGATGACATGGACGGACCCAGTGACGGACTGGCTGTCCGACGAGGAGGACAACAACGGGCTCGGACCCTGCGGGTACGAGGAGGCCAGCGAGAGCGAGGAGGGCAGCTTCGTGCCAGACACGGAGCTCGACAGCGACGAGGAGGCAGAAGGCCCCGTGGGCCCCGTGGAGGAGCCAGAGCCGGAGCCAGAGCCAGACTCTGCTAAGAGGCGCCGCTTGCAGTGATGCCGAAGCCTCAGCAGCGAGTGTGCCAGCACTGCGGCAAGGCTGGCCGCAACCTCAGGAGTGGCCCCAAGCTCGCCCAGCAGCTCCTCCGCAGCGTGCAGAAGGCCCACTCCCCCAGCGCCGTGGTGGACGCGCTCAGGGCAGGCGGGTCGGGCCTCAAGGTGACGGGGATACAGACGAAGTTCATCCACCGCAAAGCCCACAAGCTGCAGCGCAGGGTGGCGCACAAGGGCAGCCGCAGGGTCCACGCGGGCATGCCGCCCCCCTGGGAGATACACGTGGAGGAAGAGACGAGGAGGAGGAGGAGGCGGAGGAGACGGAGGAGGAGGAGGAGGAGGACGGGAGGGGGAAGAAGCAGAAAAAGGAGGAACACCAACTTGCCTTCGTCGCCGCGGACGGACGAGGCTCGACCAACTAGACACAGGGGTATCTCCCATCGGGCACGGCGCGCCTGTGAAGGTCTCCACGGCCAGGAAGGCAGCGAAGGGGCGCAAGAAGGCGGCGAACGAGAGGCGCCGCTGCTTGACCAGGAGCACCAAGGACGAGGCAAAGCTGGCCTTGGCAGAAAAGCAGAGCATGGCCAAAGCGTGGAAGGCTCTCGTCAAGTGGCGCTTGGCCAAGGCGGGTGCGCGTGGTAACTGCAGCAGCTACCCTTGCCCTCGGTGCCCTGCAGGCTGTACCTGCACCAAGCTCGACGGACACGGCCAGAGAGGGAACGGCCCGCAAACCAAGCGAAAGAAGGCGCTCCAGGCCACGCTGGCGGTCAAGAAGAGAAAGCTCACCTCGGTCTTCTTTCGGGGCAGCAGATGCGGTGACATCTACAATGGCATCATATTCTGCGTTCTCCCCCAGGTCAAGTACCCGTTCCCACTGCCTGCGCTCGTGGAGTTTGTAGAGAAGTATCATGCAGCCACCAGGCCCGAGCTGCAGCAGCTCTGCAAGGATGTCGGCATGTCTCGCTCTCGGTCCGTCATGAAGCTCTTCCGCTGGCTCCGCTGGCAGGAGGCGAACCTCGGCTACGAGGAGATGCAGGCCATGACGCTCAAGGGCGTCGTCGAGGGCGACGGCACTGGCCTGAAACTCTTCAAGCACGAGGGGAAGAACTGCCACGTGGCACTGTGGGGTTTGGCCGAGCGGCCCCGCGGGTCAGCCGTGCCGCGAGCGGTGGTGTACTTCGTGCCCGTCAAAAAGGTTGCGCCCAATGCCGTGTGCCCGGTAGTGTGAGGAGTAAAACAGTTCAGGCCAGCTCTCTTGACCCTCCACCCCCCTGCCTTCGTCGGAAGGAGACATGGGGGAGAGGGGAGGGAGAGGGTGGGACAGAGGAGGGAGGAGGAGGAGGAGGAGGAGGACGACGACGACGAGGAGGACGAGGAGGAGGAGGAAAAGAAGGAGGAGGAGGAGGAGGAGGAGACGGGGCGATGAAGGCAGGGAGGGTGGAGGGCCAAGGGAGCTGACCTGTAGTGATTTCCTCCTCCCAGGTAGAGTGCCGCGAGGACGTCTTGGCGTCGGGCGGCCTTGACCACGTCGCGAACAAGTCGGTGCTGGTCTCTGACGGTGCTCGTTTGTACGCCCGCCTGGCTCGTGAGCATGGCCTACGCCATCGATTCTGTGTGCATTCCAAGGGGGTATGGAATGAGAGGGCGCGTGTGCGCGGGTATGGCACATCCGATGTGAACACAGGTCTGATCGATGAGCGGTGGTCTCGCATCAAGGAGTGGATTCCGAAGGGAATCTGGGGGAGTGACGGCGAGGGCAACCTGAACGTGGAGCTCTGGAGCTACGTCTACCAGTGGTGGTTTCGATGCCATCATCCTTTGAAAGCGGACAGGCAGGCGCGCTTGGCCGAGTACTGGGGGCGTGAGGCTTAGGGCACATAGGCCTTGCGAGCAAAAAGAGCAAAGCGCTCTGGCGCCGACAGGGGAGGAGGAGGAGGAGGAGGAGGAGGAGGAGGAGGAGGAGGAGGAGGAGGAGGAGGAGGAGACATACGAGGACGCACGTGTTTGCAGTAGTAGTACGTAGTAGTACGTAATAGCACGTAGTAGTACGTAATAAAACGTAGCAATGCGTAGCAGTACGTAGTTGTACGTAATAGTACGTAGTAGTACGTAGAAGTACGTAGTAGTACGTAGTAATACGTAGTAGTACGTAGTAATACGTAGTAGTACGTAATAGTACGTAGTAGTACGTAGTAGTACGTAGTAGTACGTAATAGTAGAACGTCGTAGTAGTACGTAATAGTAGAACGTAGTAGTACGTAGTAGTACGTAGTAGTACGTAG